TGTTACTTGGCGAAAAGTATTAGAGGAAGTAAATCATGAAATATTTCTTTTCTTCTATTTTGCAGTACAATTAGAATTGTTTACTTTAAAAATCTTCAATGTCTAAGGTTCAAATATTTGCTCGATTTACATTCCATTACGCTCCACCGCCTCGTTCGTTTAACAAGTGTTTGTAGACGCTCTCTTTAATCTTTAAATATTCTCCTTATATTTAAGGATCTATCTTACTTCCCGTCTTGTCACCACTCATTTGCATTATTTAAGGAATGGCTATTTTTAAGTATTGTGGAAACTATTATTCAAAATGCATGATTTATTTGATTTTTCAACGGATTTTACGTTAAGAATTACAGCTGAATTTAAATAGTACAAATACTTTACATCACCATGGCAATCAATAACAACTTTTTGTCATTTACCTTTAATTTCAAGTTATATATTTAAAGTTTATTTTAAAGTTTTTACACGTAGTATTGTTATACTACGTATTCAAACTTTATTATTAAAATTATCTGAATCTGAGAGTAACTAGGAGTAACGACATTATAAAGTACACTAAAGTATAAAATATGCGATATCATGAAAAAATTCTAAAAAACACGGAACGAATTATAAAGAGCCTCATAACGGTGACCTACGTGGGGGAATATTCTGATAAAATTTATATCAATTGTAGATAATCAGTTAAAGCTGTTTTATATCCCAGATAATCGATAATAAATTATATTACTTTAGATACCATGAGAAATTCCGCTGCAAAAATTAATAATGTACTATTTACAGTCGTGGATGCGGTAGTTATAAGTTTCGACCTACATTTACATTTCCCAAATAAATGTCATTTGACTCGATTTATGACCAATGACAGTATTTTTTTTTATTACACATTCAAGAAATTGCCACTTACATAAATTATATTCAAAAAGTAATTAAAACATTTGAAAATGGAACTCTTTGCCTGTAGAATGCAATTTGTTTCATCTGACTGTCAATTGTATTGTGACGCCATTTCAAAAATTTCGTGTCTACGTTAACATGGATTTAAAATTTTCGTAGTATGATTTTCTACGATTTGAATTGTAATTTGACAGTTCCGCAGAGCCTCGCTAGGCTTTAATCTGCTTTTGGCGATGAAGCACCATTCCAGACGACTATTTCTAGGTTTGCGGGAGTCAAGCGCGGTAGTGTCAATCTCAGTGACAAATCTCGCGATGGTCGCCCGTACATCGCTGTGAACAACAAAAACATCGATGCCGTGATCGAAACAGACAGGCATGTGACCTACCATGAGATTCGAGCATCCTTAGATGTAGGTATAAGTCAAATACAATCAATCATACACAAACATTTGAGTGTGAGAAGGTGCAACGATTTTCATTACCATAAGACTGTCGAAGAGTGTGAAAAACACGTTTATCAGGTCACCACGGAGAAGTGGCACAAACTTTTTCAATATTGGTATAATAATATGAAAAAGTGCATTTACACGCAAAGGAAGAAAATTTTGAGAAACCATAAATACACTATTTTGTCTTATTCATTCCGGAAACTTCCGAGTGGGAAGTAATTAAAGGTCAGATACAGGTGCAAGAAGAAACAATAATATAGAGTCAATAGAATTATTGCCTACTCTTAGAATTATTGTCTTTCAACAGCATAAAAAATAATTAAAATTGCGATAAAATTTTAGACTTTAATAAAGTAACAGCCCATGTGACATGTATAGTCCCACTGCTGGGCAAAGGCCTCCTCTATACGGAGGGTATTACGGCATAATACACCACGCGGCCCCACTGTGGATTGGCGGACTTCACATATTTTCGAAATACATATTTTTGTTATTATTTCGAAAATATGCAGGTACTTGTTATTATTTCGAAAATATCCTCACGATGTTTTCCTTCACCGCGGAGCACGTGATAATTCAGCACTTAAAGTTAAAAACTTCATTGCCGGCACCGGGGATCGAACTCAGGTTGCTCGAGTATATATTGAATTAAGGCGAGCGCCCGGACACTGAGCTATCACGGCTCTTAAAACGTCTGTTAAAACTCGATAGCAAGAAAAAGAAACGAAGCGAGCTGATATTGATAGAGTCCTTCAGCGGAAATTTAATGTATTTTGTCTCATTAAAAAAATAAGGCAATAAATACGTATTGATAAATAATTATTCTAGGCACTTTATTCAGTAATAAACAATGTTATTAAAGTAATCAACGATAGTCAATCTGCTTTATCGTTAATACTTAAAAATAACGCGATTATATCATCGATAAAATCAACAAAATATTCAAAAAGCGTTTGCTGAAAGCATCCATCCAAAAATAAGATGAATTAAGACATGTTTCAACTTACATCTTTTCGTTTTACATCGTAAATATGATGTTTGTATTTCATTTGAATTTAAAAATGCAACAAGTTTTTACCTATTAGCAATTTTATGGGGAGCTATTAGTAATTTAGTTGTAAATACGGTGTAACAAATAAACTTTACGGTGGTAAGGCTACGCAAAGCTCGGCTGTTGCACGAATGGGCAGGCTCGTCCGGGTAAGTATCACGACCTCACAGAAGACCGGCGTAAAGTGGAAGTATAATACTTTCGCGTTTCGTCTGGTAAGTGAGGTAGCCGGAGCCCAACTTTCAAAAGGTTGTCAACGCATCTGCGAACCCTCGGGTGTGGCAGATGACCATGGGCGGAAGTATTCACTTAACAACAGGCCACCAGGCAGGAACCACCTGCTCGCTTGGCAACTTTTCACATAAAAAAATGGAAGAAATGTAGTTGGATGAAACTTGCCTTGATAAGCGGCTTATAACGTAAATTGATTTAAATTATGGCTTCTATACATATAATAAAAATGTTACTGATCGTTGTCTGGACATGAAATATATTTGAGAAAAACTATTTTTATATTTATATATATATTTTTAAGACACATTTTTACACAACATTCTCTAGTCCCAAACTTAGCAAAGCTTGTACTATGGATACTAGAAAACTGATAAACATACTTAAAAATACTTTTCTTTTGTAAATAAATACATATTATACATAAATAAACACCAACACACTAGAAAAACACTATGTTCATCACACAATATTTTTCCAGTAGTGGGGATCGAACCCACACCCTTTGGCGCAAGGAGGCAAGTACACTACCCATAACGCCATTCGGATCGTCTATTATTATTGGCTTTATCAAATTTGCCTTTATCAAATCAGTAGAGCCCAAAACAAAGACTGTTACAAATGTTTGTCCGTTTGTCTGCGTATATCAGAAACGGCTTAACCGATTTGGATGCAACTTTCACTAACGCATTGTATTAAGCTTCACTTAACATTAAGTGTTAGTTTTATTTAAATAGGGCCATACTTAAGTGAGTGTACAGCATACTCTGTAATTTATTTTCAGTGATAAAAACGTACATTTATTTACTTTAAAAATGTTTATATTACCATTCAATGACTGATCACTGTTTGATATAAAGTAATAACGTAAAAGGGAGTATTTTTTAGCCAAACGGCTTATGATGTATCTGTATATAAGCTTACTCAATATATTAAAAACTACATTTTGCCCCCGACGCTCCCCCCACGTTAAATCTTTATATCGTGCTTAAAAACTACCTACGGATCGGATACGATACGGATTAATGCGCGAGACCGACTTCGCACTTGGCCGATTTTTTAACTTTATATAAACTTACAATCACCATTATATTACATATCATAACATATAGTTAACTATAGTTACATCTGTAACTATTATATAGCATTTTATCGCACAAATCTTCAATGTGTTTCTTTAGGTTGATATATTTTTTTACTTAATCTTACCCGCACTACGGATATCATCGACACATAAATGATATATTGCGTTAAGCTAAAGCTCATTCTTATATGTTTTATCTTAGAATGATTACGATCTAAATAGGGACATTAATTATAAAGTGAGATATACTTATCTCTAATGTTATTGTATTTACCGCATATAAATTATTCCATCAAAATTAATTTAAATGTTTTCCTTCTTAGACTGAAAACATTTATAAATAATATCCTGTGAATCAAGAGACAGCAATGTAATATTTTTGTCAGTGACAGTCAGTCTGTGTAAAGTTAAACCGATTTCATAATCAAAACGTAGGACTTTTGTTAATTCGTCAAACATATTAACAAAAGTATTCTCCAAAACTTGTTTATTTTGTTCATTAAATACATATCGGATATTGCGACAAAAAACTCCTTAGCTAGAACATATGAAAACTTGAGACAATTATATACAACGGCTGCAGTATCGAATTATAGTCAGCAAAGTTTCGGTGGATGTCACAATTTGGAATGCTTAAATTACCGCGGATGTAATATGAGCGATCTAATAAATATACGAATGTAAGGGTTCACTTGTTTAATGACTAATACTACGGATTCTCTTATCTAAGCTTCTACAAGTACGAAAGTTTCTGATTGGTCCAACAAGTTTTTACTAACAAAACAGATGCTAATTTCGAGAACAATTAGTTTTCAAAAAGTTTTTGCTTAGAACTCCTACTATAAAACTTAAATACGGTTTCGCTAAATATTTAAATACTTTGTAGCTCTCTTGGTGTATAATAAAATTCAGAAAGAATATATCATAAGGAGAACAAGCATATGCAAGCGTACACACAGAAATACAAGCGCTAATGAAAATAATACGTCTTGCTTAGGTTCGTGCCATTTTCCAATCTTATTATTTTTGTAAATACATGTTTGTCTTTAAAATTATGTTTGCTTATAAAGTCACACGTGTGAGCGAGCATGCGTTAGTCATGGGATGGATTTGTCTGTCACGAGTCATAGAAATTGTCTATTCGAACTGAACCCTCACGACTGTCGTTGTATTGTTATTATCGCTGGCTGATAGCGGTGAGAAACAGCGAGGAACGCAAGCGTATCTATCTAGTGTAATCTTATATAGTAATAATCTTCGCTAAACTAATAGGCGAGAGTGAACTACGTTTCCGCCTTGTCGTAGATGAGGGTCTTAGTAACCGTGGCTTGGTCTCCCAAGGGCAGCCCACCCTTGGGAGACCAAGCCACGGTTACATTGAGCCTACTTGAATGAAAAAGAACTGTCGCAATTTTTTGAACGGTCTGAACGTCTTATCTAATTTGTTTTTAAAACATGTAGAAAAAGTACGAAAAGATTGTCGCCGCTGTGGGAATCGAACCCACGTCTTCGGCATTCGCGGCCTGACGCTCTAGCCACTGAGCTAAACGGCTGATAGCCACAGTGACGAAAATCTTTTCTACATGTTTCAATGTTCAATCTTTAGTGCAGAGATAAGCACTATAAAAAAAAGACTTTAAAATTAATATGTTTTTATTGCATTTGTATCAATAAAAACAAAGTAAGTAAACAAGATAAATCGTCGAAATTGATATTGCATTTGGCCAATCTCCTTATCCTCCACGATACGGCAGGGCTTTAACGCTGATGCAGCAGTGGTGTGATAAGGTGGACGTGTCGGTATTTCGATCGTTCTACCCTCCGTGGCAGAGATGTGGTAAGCGGCAGAACCATGAACCAGGGGGTCGGATACTCGTTAGCAGAGGCTCTTTCAATTCCCATTTCCTCTGGGAGACGGACTGTGGGAGTTGATTTCCCATATAAATAGGCAGAGTAGGAAGGCATGCTTTATAAACTATAATGAGCAATATGCGCTGATGAATTATTTTGTATTATCTGAAGTGTTTTCAGATGCACTTTGGGAAAGTGTGTGCGCGGCTTTAATGCCTCAGACGATGAAGAAAATAATATTTTGAAAATACATCGGTTTCAGGAGGAATGAGGGATGAGGGCTCACCGCCGATCACGTATAGCTCAGACCTTAAAATTTCATTTAACAATATTGTTAGTGCCACCAGGGGAGGTTCTATAATGTACTAAAATAAAGGCGAGCGCCCGTAAACTGAGCTATTAAAGTAAAAATTTTATACTCGCATACTATATGCAAGTATAAAATTTCACTCGAAATATGTGAAAATAGGCGAATGTAGCTAGAAGAAACCATCGATTATAGTATCTTGTGCATCCGATTGAGAATTATTTGTAAAATTTAAACCAGCACCACCAGAACTGACCAACTTTTGTGAAAGTACAGACCTTTAATTACTACAAAGAACTTGACTAACGTTCATCATATAAGTTCTGTTAAGTCGCATTGGACTAGACATTTTGGCCAGTGAAAATATGTTTCACAAAGTTAATATACTGAAAAAAAAAAGCCCGCGTTTGTTCTGGTTGTTTTACTGCGGTAGGGTCTCGCAACAGTGTTTGCTTGTCGCACGAATGGCTAGGTCCGTCCGGGTAATTACCACGACTTCACAGAAGTACGTCGCAACGTAGAAGTGTTACATTTCTGCGTTTCGTCTGGTAAGTGGGGTAGCCGGTGCCGATTTTATTCGAAGGTGACAGTGCATTTTCAACCCTACATGTGTTTTAAAAGTTCATGGGCGGTGGTAATCACTTAACATCAGGTAAACCGCCATTACGTTTGCCACTTTGTCACATAAGACAAAATGTTCTCTGTTTGCCACTTTCTCACATTAAAAAAAGTATATCGAGATGTTTATGCAAGTTTGAGAAGCACCACTTGATGAAAACTTTACATACAATATAATTTAATTAATTAAAGTAGTTTACAGCCGGATTTTTATACGTACAGTTATCTTTTTTATTGGTTTCACATTCTCAACATCGTGTAATGAAAACGTATGGAAAAAGTTTAAAGTTCATGTTTTATTAAACAAAACAATGATTAAAACATATTATATTAATCTTAATAATATTAAATATTAAATAAGCCTTAATTATTGTCAATGTATAAAAGTAGTAAGAACTAACAAGGCTACGCTGATTATAAATAAATAGGGTCTTAAAGAGACAGAGTTGTTCGCTTCGGCGTAAGGATCGGGGTTGTATTCCCAATCAATGGTTCTAGTACTGATAATTTCTTTATAGACCAGCGCTGACTTTCTTGGGGTGCGCGGCCTACCAGGATCGTCAATGTCCACTTCGTAGAGCCCGAATCTAGGTCTGTAAGAGATATTAATAAATGAGTGGGCGAATTTGTTTTAAAAATTATAATACATGAAGAAATACATAAAGGCACTACTTAGAAATGTGAAAGATAGATATTAAGACCTAGAATTTTAAGTATTTAGACCAAATTGAGTACAAATTTTAATCATGGTGGTTTTCTACCTAGGATTTCCTTAATGTTTCTTGTTTTTCAGAGCCAGGGAGCATCAAATATCAATTGAAAAATAATATTACTTTAGTAATACTTCTTTTGGCGCGTTTTGAAAAAATAATAGAAGAGTAATTTTTTTCGTACTCTCGTCAAATCACGTGACACTGGCCGCAGGTCAAGGGAAAATAAATACTCACATGTAGCCAAAAGCCCATTCGAAATTATCCATTAGACTCCAGGCACAATAACCCCTCACGTCTACACCGGCAGCAATAGCGTCCGACAAAGCGGTCAAATAATTCCTTAAGTACTGAACCCTTCCGTCATCATTTAACCCCGTGCCCGTCGAGAAACCATTCTCCGTGACATATATCGTGGGACTGTTGTATGTGTCTTTTATGTACAATAAGAGATTATAAAACCCTTCGGCGTGTTCCTAAAATGAATTGAATAATTTAAAAATCGATCGATTCCCGCGCAGTATTATAAATCGGTTATAAGTATACATAAAAATCATGACCGCCATCCAGCGGCATAGAAATAAATTACGGATTTTCATTGTCAAATACTTTGGTACAATTGTTTAACCATTCTCTCTTCTATTGTCATTTTCGTATTACGGGAAAAGCATTCAAAAAATTCACTTGCACAAATTATTGTGGGAACCCATACAAGTGTAAACTGATATGCGAAATCCTAATACATTCCGATATCTCTTAGTAGGCTGAAGGTAGTATAATACAAGCATTATAAAAACGGCCGGTATTCTTAGGTCAACGAATATGGCGATCTTACTATTAAAACTTCTTGTAGCTGCAATTGAAACTACCTACGGAGAAGAAAGACAATGAAAAATATATTGTTTGCATTTTTGAAATTGTAATACGAACCACCAACCAAAGGCTCGAACTTGTGGGCCAGCTTGGATGTTTATAGGTGCCGAAGCCTGCGTCATCGCTAAACGAAGGTACTTCGAACATCCCTATGACAGAATCATTCCTGTAGACAATGTCACTTGTATAGTGATTTAAAGCCAGGAAGTCAGATGTGCCTTTGATGAGATCTATTTGCTCTTGTGAGAAAGGGCGCAATCTCGATGTTGAAAAACCTTGGCTCATGCTGCGATTAGCGACGCGATCGATGAGTCGCTGCGGATAATTTCCTTGCTCCGTAAATATGGGATCCATGAATTGACCAAGCTGAAAATTATTAAAAAAAACGAGTTGATAACATTGAGTAATGAATATCGATGTTATGTCCTAATAAAACATGTATCCTAAATGTTGAATATATAAAACTAGGCATAAAGTAATTTAAAAGAAATTTGTTCATGTAATCATAAAACACTTACGTGAAATGCAAAGTAATCCTTCACAGCTTCTGCATCATCTTCAGAATCAGTATCTGGGTACGCCCAATCCATGCTTAATACAATGCCAACTTGCCCTCCCTGCGATTTGAACTCATTTTGATATAAGTGATAGGCCTTCGCATGCGCCAAAAGAATATGGCGTCCGCACTCATAAAAGCCAGTTGCAGGAAGATGCCACCGCGGAGCATGTCTCGTTGTAACAAAGCCTTGATAGCAGTGTATATATGGCTCGTTAATAGTCAACCAATGCTTCACTCGATCACCAAAGTGCTGATACAAAACTCTCGCATAAGCTTCGAACCACCCAACTATATCCTCGTTCTGCCACCCACCTTGCTCGCTGAGGTTTTGGGGCAGGTCCCAGTGGTACATTGTGACGAACGGGGTTATACCATTGGCTAGCAATTCATCGATTAATGCATTGTAATAGGCAACACCATACGGATTGACGTAATTCGCACGGCCGTAAGGCAGAATTCTGGGCCAGGAAATGGAAAATCTGTAGACCTTGGCACCTAGTTCCTTAAGCATTTCAACATCTCGTTTGTATAAATTATAGGAGTTAGCAGCGATGTCGCCAGTTCTGTTGTCCGCAATATGGGTGGGATCGGTTCGGACGATGTAATCCCACATTGACCATCCTTTGCCTGAAGAGAATAAACAATTTTTCGCACTTTACTTTGACATTTTACGAATAAAAGATAAATTTTTTAATGTCTATTCTAAGTGATTTGAAATCGTGATCTGTCTTGTGGGTTGAAGTTTAGTGACCCACAACAATGTCTCTATTTTTCAATTTTTTTGTGCCCACAGCAATATATGAATCTGTTCGATTGGGTGCAAAATAAGATCATTGGAACGTGCATATTTTATAGAACCAATACTTTATTTGGAAACGTAACATGTTATATAAATGTTCGTTGTAAAATGCGTTGCACAACTACTTTCTTTTAATAACCATACGAATGAAGCCATCTTAACAGTTTATCCGTCTGTATTAAAAGCAATTCCGCTTTTTCTAAACTTCAATCGTTTACTTTATTAACGATGGTACAATGTGCATATTGCTTTGAAAGGTAACTTCTATTAGAAAACTCAAACATTTTCATAAAATATCTCTTACCATCAGCATTCCAACCACCTTCTATTTGATAAGCGGCTGTTGCAGCCCCAAACATGAAGTCTTCTGGAAAGGCCTTGGTATCATAATTTGATTTTGTTTGGACCTTTGCTGTACGTACGAGCGTGAACAAGCTTAAAAATATTAACAAAAACTTATATTATAACGTACAAATTGAATTCAGTCATAGAAAATATGAATGATTTATTTAAATGAATATAAAAATGAAAGTGATTTATTTTAAAGAATTATCATTGAACTTTTTTTTAATTAATCAAATAAATTACCAAATAAGCGTTAATGGTAAAACTTTGTTCAGTATCATTCTTTGAGACAAAAAATAGAACTGACAAAAAAGTGCTAACGAATATTTATAAGGTAAGAGTATCTTATCATATCTATATAAAATTGCAGATATAATTTAATGATTTTATGATATATAAAGGTTAGCAAGAGATTTGATATATTGCCTTAACGTAGTACACCGGTTCGGAAAATATTTTATTCTGCCCAAAATAATATTCACGGCTAAAACAATTCGTTCAGAGCTGATAAATAGGACAAACGTTGACTATTATGAATGAAATGTGAAAAACCCCAACCCATGTACATGCAATGCACATTTATGAGTTTTTGCTTGTTTCAAATTACACAGACGACTTATTTATTTAATATTAAAAATAAAAATAAATCAATTTGTTATGGTCAGGTAAATGAGAGCCATATAAATAGGTACTTATTGGTCTATGTATGAAGATTTTAAATATGATGTTAGAAGATTGAAGTTATTAAAACCCCAAATGTTACAAACATATATATGATTTTTTTTTTTGATAAAATTAATTTATCTAATATTTACAAGATCAAATCTATCTCAAATTACATATTATGTAATAAACCTAATCCACGCGGCATGGTTCCAAGAACGCTATCTGCATTTCCTCGCTGAATAGTTATGCTTAACCAAATAAATAGGTACCATAGGTAAATTGTACCAAATGGATTTGAGCGAGAAAAGAACCAGCTCTCCTGTCACCAGCGGCGGCGTTAAACCTAGGGCATAAACTTTTAAAACATTTTGATGTGCGAGGACCCCACGTATCTAAAGTTTCAACAGCAAAAGGTACAAATACATAATCTAAACATAAATACTCATATTTGCGCCATTTACTTACTTCAGCTGCCTCCGATGCCGCCCCGGCTCTGACCGAAGTACCCCTTAGTATATGTTTGTATCATTGTCAAAATTTTATATGCCTTGTACTTGTCTACCTATTTTCTACCAAAAACGTGGCGAAAAAGTTATTCGTTGATTCTCTATGATATTCATTTAATATACTTTTTTATTGTCATTAGTTAGCTAACACAAAATACCGTACCGCTTTGAATTCAGCCCATTGTTAATGAACTGTATGCAGCTGATAAAAGCTGAAATCAAATAACTGACTTTCTGTAACTTACTTATTCATTTCAATCCAGAGAATTATTAACAAGTTTCTCGCAACTGGGGAAAAATGTATTAACAAATACGTGGCTGACACAAATGAACGCTACAAACTTTGCAAGCTTTCACAAAGGAGTTTACTACTTGGTCTTGTTCTAATAAAAAAATAATATTCAGGAATAGGACATGTGCTGGAACTACCATTTTGAACAAAAGCATAAAGTTATTCCTTATTGTGACGCAAAACATGTACTTTCTTTCAATTTTTAGTTAAAGGTGAACCAAATGTTATATTTAAATTTAAGTTGAAAATAATATGAAAATTGCACGGGCCGCGGTTTAGTTTTAGCTCGTATTAATTGATTGAGTTATGCACAATCTGTTAGGAGTTAATAATTTCAGTAAACTACGCTAAACTTTAGTGTTTCGGAATAAAATATTCCTTACACCAAATTGTACGAAATGGATTTTAGAAACAGATACGAAATCCACTTCAAAAGGATATGTAACAATATGATTTAAAAAGGATACGTACCGATATGTCATCTTATAAAGGAAAACGTTACTTTATAAGATGGCTTATCAGAATATGTATATCCCTTTCAAAACAAACTTTTAAACCGGAGGTTACTGGGTAACACTAGCCAGTCCTTTACTCCTTTTTAGAAACGCATCTGCAAGATATTCATTCTTTGGGGAAAAATGTAGGTATTAGAACAGTAAAAGACTATTCAGTCAAGCTTGGCATGCATTACATTCGGACAGGAATAATACATTGTTAGTGGAAGTTTTTTCCACTCTTGAGCTCTATGCAAAGGAAAGAGGGGGATTTTATACTACAGATGTGTTGTTAATCCGACCGAAGTGAAATCACGAAAACGTCCGAGTTGGGACATTTTGTTTTTACTTCACGTTAGGCAGGGCGGCGAGTGAAACGCGGTGTCAACAATTTTACCTTAACAATTCTTATAAATAATTATTAACATTTACATAATAACTATTCAAGAGATTTTACGAAACACTTCCTACCACCACTTTCGAAAAACACATTATAAAGTGTTTTTCGACTCTATTCATTCTACCCGTCAAAACTTTATTGATCAGCATATCAATGGCGCGACACTCGTAACGCACTGTATGATAAACTATCTGTGTCGCTATTTAACCCCTGCAGGAAAACCCAGTGGGAGTTGTGAATATTCGCTTATTTTATTTAACTGTCTATTATTACAAAATAATAAATAATAATTGTGTTACCTCGCAATTATATAACATCATCGATGTATACTATGTATACTCTAGATTATTATAGAATATTATCTCTAGATTTGTAGATTTAAGAATAGTTTTTGCGGCTCATATGTAGACAGCAAAAGTGACGAGAGGATTTTCCGCCAACGCTATCAACTCGTCTTTATCACCAAGGCAAATTACATAACAATCTGTTATTCGTTACATAAACTTGTTCGAAGCATGTCACTCGTAATATGTACGTAATCAAATTGGAAACAAACAAACATTTTACAATTGTTTACAAAAACCGGCGTCAGTATGTGGTGATTTCATGACGTTCTAACTGCAAAGTAACAGAAATTGATCCTAATAATACAATATTCCGTCAGTTTGAACTACTTAAATTATTGAAATGTCTTCCGGTGATACATACATGTTTAAATACCATAATAAAATGAGACTATACATAATTTATTACATTACTACTCCAAGTCGCTCAGCGAGCGATGGAGCGGGCTATGCTCGGTATTTCTCTGCGTGATAGAGTTCGTAACGAAGACATCCGCAGTTGAACTAAGATAACCGACATTGCTCAGAGGATTAGCAAGCTGAAGTGGCGATGGGCCGGCCATATAGCTCGTAGAACCGATAACCGGGGAAGCAAGGTTCTCGAGTGGCGGCCTCGTACTGGCCATCGCAGTGTAGGACGACCCCCCACTAGATGGAGTGACGACCTGTGCAAATGTGCGGGAATTCAATGGATGCAGGTGGCTCAGGATCGTACTTCATGGCAGTCAATGGGGGAGGCCTATGTTCAGCAGTGGACTCAAACAGGCTAAAATGATGATGATGATGATGATGATGATGATGATGATACATACATATTTTTAAAAAAATTGTAATTTATTTTCAGGTCACGAGAAAAACATGATTCTGATGTTCCCAAAACTGTTTGAAACAAAAATGAATATGTGGAACTTAGCAGTTTGTTCTACTTTAGTATTAGTACTGGTTAAAGCCAAAATAACTTGTCGTTTTGAAGATAACAATATACTTAAATTCCAATCATGCAATTCAACAGATTCTGATAACATTTTAAAAAGAGGATTTGTATCGGATAAAAGAAAGAATTATATCAAGCATTGATCTTAAAGCATTTTACAGACTACCAGCTTTAGTCATTTTGGATTTAAAGAAAAGTAAAAGTAAAGTAACAGCATATACATGTCCCATTGCTGGGCAAAGGCCTCTTCTATACAGAGGGTATCAGGGCATAGTCCACCACGCGGCCCCATTGCGGATTGGCGGACTTCACATATCTCCGAAATATATACATTTTTTGTTATTATTTCGAAAATATGCAGGTTTCCTCACGATGTTTTCCTTCACCGCAGAGCACGTGATAAGTCAGCACTTAAAGTTAAAAACTTCATTGGTGCCGGCACCGGGGATCGAACTCAGGTTGCTCGAGTATATTGAATTAAAGGCGAGCGCCCGGACACTGAGCTATCACGGCTTCATTTTGGATTTAGGAGGAAAAAAAATACAGCAACTGGAACTGGGTATTTTCGACCAAATTCCGTTACTATCAAGATTGATTTTATCTCATAATCTACTTACAGAATTACCTCTAGGTATATTTCAACATGTTCCAAAGTTATCAGTCCTAGAATTAGAAAGTAATCAAATAAAATTCCTAGATCCAGGAGTATTTGATCCACTTTCAGATCTTGGTCAATTACATTTATCATATAATTTCCTTGAGGGTAAGAGTTTAGGTACCGATTTCTTATGGGTAAATCGTCGAATGATAATCCTAACTTTATCTGGTAATAATATGATCGAAGCAGACTTTTTAAGCAAAATGGAAAACTTGAATTATTTGTCTATGAATCATTGCCTTTTAAAGGAAATCCCACATTTTGTAATAGATGCTAACATGAAGACACTAAGGCATTTAAGGTTATCTGAAAATGAAATAAATAACATTAACAACGCTTCAATATTAAGTAATTTAATAAATGTGGAACTTTTGAACCTAAGCAAAAACAATCTACAATTTATCCACGAACACACATTTAAACCACTTAAAAGCCTTGAAGTGCTTGATTTAAGCCACAATCATCTTTCCACTATTCCAGTAAGTATGTTTCAGAATATACGTACCTTACGTGTGCTTGATTTGTCTTTTAACATCTTGATGGACGTCCGAATAAAGGTATTCGCTGAAACTGCACTGAAGAAACTTAGTTTAGCTAACAATAGATTTACGTATTTAAATGAAAAATTTCTCATACACTTAGAGGATACCGGAGTAATGTTAAAGATACTTCAGTTCGGTGGTAACCCATGGCAATGTGCGTGACTCAGAGATTTGTTAC